CTAGTGGTACATTGAAAGCTTTCATCTTGACAAAAGTGGATAACAAACCATTTTCATTGAGTAACCAGGATTCTAGCCTCATCAAGCACTGAATTTCTCACTCCGAAAGGTGGAAGGCCCAAACTCTAGGTTAATAATTAAACTAAAAAAAAAATTTGTTGCAAAATCAAATAAAAAAGTGAGGACTTCTCCCAAAAGGTGAGAAGTGGGAAATGATTAGATGGAGGTCGTTTTGATTTGTAACCTAGTTAATTTGAGTTTGTAAGTCCTTAGGGGTATTTGAACACCTAATGCACTAAAGCCATCTGGTTTGGGAGTCATTGACCTAACGCTCGACCTCATGGATCACTAGAAAGCTTAATCGATCAACACACTGCACTATACTTCCATCTTTGATCCTTAGGATTAGAGAGGAGAAAAAAAAAATCAAGTGAAAAGAATAAGCGCACCTAAATAAATAAAGCTTTAATAAAAGGTCATTCTTTGTTTTAATGATCAGTACTAGATTTATGTACTAGTTTGAGGGCACTATAAGAAAAATGACTTTTTACCACTGTGGAAAAGACTTTCTACCACAGTTTTAAACCGTGGTAGAAACAGCCGTGGTAGAAAGTCGAAACTTTCTACCACGGTGGAAAATCATGGTAGAAAGTCCATTTTCAACCACGGTTCCGCACCGTGGTAAAAAGTCGTTCTTTCTACCACGGTTCCGCACCATGATTGAAAGTCTATTTTCTACCACGATTTTACATCGTGGTAAAAAATCGTTCTTTCTACCACAGTTCCGCACCGTGGTAGAAAGTCTATTTTCTACCACGGTTCAAAACCGTGGTTGAAAAAAGTCTTTCTACCACGATTCAAAACCATGGTAGAAAGTGTTATATAATTTATTTTTTTTTAAATAGTGCAACCCCCACGAGGCCTTTTTTTTTTTTTCCTACTACTAGCCTTGCAAGGACACTAAATAAATTAAAAATAGCATCATAATCAAAATAACTGACAACTAACCAATATCATATATATATATATATATATAACCAATTCCAAATCATTGTTTTATACAAAAATTAACCATATACAAATTTCTAACTTCTTATGCCATACCAAAATAAAACAAAAATTCTTATATCTTCTTGCTCTGTTTTAGTCTCTCTCTTCCATTACATATATGCAACTTCTTCATGAGCCATACAAAAAATATAACGGCAACAAAAAAAGTAACGGCAACCGCAATCCTAGCTTTGACCTACAAAAATGTAATAGTTGAAGTCAGAGAATATAAAGCAAGTTGTAAAGTTGGCAAAATTAAACCGAGCAAAGCAAGTATTATAATAAAGGTTCATTGACAGATCTACTCTTCGTATTAACTCAATATCTTGGGTCATTGGCATCCCGTCACCAAAAGAAATCATTTGAGTAGTAATGTGCAACAAAAGTAATTTGAGAAAAATAAAAGTAGCTGTGAAATAATAATATTTGTAAAGTATAAAATGTTGGAATGGAATTGTGTAAAATTAGGACAAACTAAACTGAAATCCTAGGCCTACAACAGTTCCAAAAGTATGCATACTTTGTTCCTTTCAAACACACCAGAACTGTTGAGCCTGAAAACTCTTATGCTGGGACAACCTCCTCCAATAACAAAAAGATCAATGTGAGATAAATCAAATTATTGCCATTGAAGGGTTTTCATCAAATTTTCTATAATTTGCTCTATCATTTCAAAAATTAAACTTGGAAAGAAATGTAGAAATGTGACAAAAAATAAAAATAGAAGAAGGAGAAGAACTAAATTCTTCATAGTTCATGCCATGGGGAAGAAGAGATACCTGATATTTGACATCATATTTAACTGGGTCTTTGAGGAAGTATTTGAACTGCAATTGTAGATTCAGTTGTTGTTAGAATGAGCAGGCCGCATAAGTATGTTCGCAAAAATCATTTTCTAAGGAGGTGACAACGAAGAATCGTGATTAGAAGCACAAAAGATAAATCTATAATTTCTTGGTATTACTTATAAAAAGTATCAACCATGACAAAAATAAGAGAACATTGGACGGGCAAAAATTTAAACTACTTTTGCAACTAGGGTCTTGTTTAAATTAAGACTACTCAAACTGTAATTCCTCTTCTACAAAACTAAATGAACTCACTAGCTCTGTCAATCTTTGCAATTACCTGAAATTCAAAGGTAAATGGTGATTTGCAACTCACGTTTTTACAGTTTTTCTGATTTTCCCTTGTCATTGCACCAAACCCCCTATGCATGGGCCATTATTAAATTTTTCCGTCCTATAATACAAGTGTGAGAAAGCAGGTTTCAGTCCAAGAGCAGTTCACTTTGTCAAATCATGCCAAAGGTTAGGTTTGTAATCTTCCCCACCCAACACCCCATATAGGTGGGATATACACTAGATAATTCACTTTTATTTTCTGGTAGTTACAAATTTTTATGTTTTTATTTTTTTTATTTTTTTTACCATGTTTGGAATTCACTACTTAGAGAAATGCAAGAGGCTACAACCTGCCCAATCAGAGTAGAACAAGAAACACTATCACCTGGAACATTATAAATGAACTACGCTAATCACACAATCAGTAGATATATATTGAAGAAACGGCTTTTTGGTTATCATCTTTGGCATTGAAGTCCATGTCAACACATTCACATATATAGGCATATAGAAAATATCTCAACACAAAGAATAGTTACTGCTCAGAGCATTTCTGTAGGAACGACTTCAATTCTCTATTCAATAAAAACAATGTGTACAGGGAATGTTTTCCAGCCTACAGAACTGTTGAGTTCTAAGATCAAATTTGAGATTATAGAAATGGGTTTTTAAAATAACTGTCCCGGACGACGTATTTTGTCAATATAATTATTTGGCACACTAATTGTAAGCAATAACAACATGTTCTTTACCTGGAGAAAGACTTGTGGAATGATTAAACCAAGAAGAGCTAAGGCATAATATGGTTTACCAGCTCCTAGACGGTAACCTGCAACCATGAAAAAATACTGCAATAAGCACCTCAACGAGCAATAATAAAAATAATTAGCTACCCGAAAAATGTAACTTGATGTATACAACATCTTACAACAAGAAAACATGATTTATTAGTTAAAATTGAATACTTCATGCAACAATGTTTCGCAGCCATAAATTCAAAGCGAATAGAACATTCATGCTCTTCATGAGATCTTATCCCGATTCATTTTCAATATACATTAACATTGCGCATTGATGTAAAAGATTGATGAGTTTTTATCTAACTAGTACAAAGTACAAACAGGAGTAAAGAGCACATTGTGTGTTTAGACATTTATTATGGTAAAATGATTCAACATACGAGTACTAAATAGATATAATTTCAGGAACAATATATCATATGCCTAATTTCAAATCCTTGTGACCCCTCAACAAAGCATTCGAAGGTTATGTGCAGTTAGATTCAACAGAAAAGCTCGATCAATCAATCGAATTTAGACCAAAATAGCTTGATCGAAAACTTGATTGATCGAAGCAAATCCAGAACATGTCGATTGATTGATTTGTTAATCAATCGATCAAAAGGACAGCCAAAGTTGGTAAAATATCTATTTCCAAGGCTAAAAAGGATTCTAGACTTTCCAAATATTCCTAATCAATTTTTAATCTCTACAACACTATAGAAAGGTGTCCTAGAAGGTCTGTCTTAATCAGTCTTTTGACTCGCTTGGAATGTAAGAAAAAGTCTAAATACAAGAAAAACATAAGAGATACAACTACACAACTGTGAAAGAGACTGGGAGGCCTTATTTTTCAATCACAATGAGGTTCTTCATAGATACCCTATTATATTGTGCGATTCAGTCCTAAGCAAGGAGCTTCATTCAATACTTGAAGATTGATCAACCATAACACCTGCGCATCAAAAGATTGAACAACTAGTCATTGGAGACCAAATTATGAGTTGGCGAAGCAGATTTATTGTCGGGGTAGACAGTCCAGAGACTCAAATGAAAATTTTGGCGTCACACAAGATGATTGGGGTTTTTCTAGAGTTTGGGTAACTGGTAATCTAGTTGTAATTTTTTTTTTTTTTTTCTCATAATCAATTTGATCTGCCTGAACTAGGTCCCATGGCTTTTCCATTGGGGTTTTTCACATGAATCTTTGTCTTTAATTACTTTACTTTATTATTTTGTGGTCTAGATTGCCTGGTTCGATGATGATTTAAATAAGCATGATTAATTAATTGGTTTAAATTGGTCAAAACTAATATTAAAATATATATATCAAAGTGTGCACAGGCCTTGCACTAACTCTACATCAGAGCCTAGGGTTGCGCTCTTATACTTCTCAATGCCTGATGTACCAGGTAGTGCATAAACTAGTTTCTGGGGCTTGTGAGCATGACACAAGTCTAAGCTAGCTTGAAAAGATGGTCAAGCGCCATTGCCATCCTTTCTGAAGGGGCATGAGTGGTCACTAGAATGCAGCACGACAAATCCTAATAACCAGTGCAAAAGGTTGATTTTCATCAAAACACTAAAAGCTCCTTTTGGAACTTGGAAAGAACCAGCAAAAAGATAGGAAAATGTAACATCTGATGGATCATGGAGCAAATTTTAATTTAACTATCGAGAAAAATAATAATTTACAAAAAAACATTATTTTCCTTGCTCTTTCCAAGCTCCAAATGAATCCCCAGTGACATTCCAATCTAATTAAAGGAATCATTAATTACCATATTTTTTGTTTGTAGAAGGTCTTCAGTTTAACATAATAGCGGCAACTAGATGTTGTTGAGACATTGTTATCAAATATAAACAATAGTGACATACCAGCCACAGAGAGTTGAGTAACGTCAATAGCACCAACACAAATCCATTTAGCAGTCTCAGAGCCAAATGCTATTGGAAGTGACTGGTCAAATAACAATATCATACAAAGGTTACAGTAATTTACAAGGAAATTTACAAATGGTAAAAGATTCATATAGTATCCCAAAAAAATTAATGGAGAAAACCTAAAGTTCGAGTGTTCTATCCCCTTCAACACTTTTAAAGTCATTTACGATGGCGATACCCAGCTTAAATGTGAATATATATATATATATATATATATATATATATATATATATATATATATTTATATATATATAAATTAGTCTGGTTCATGTCATATAAAATGTATGCAAAGATGCATGTCCAAAATGCATACCCCGGCTATGCTGTACAAGAGAGTGAGAACAATTATGTCAGGCGTAAGAGTCCCAAACAAAGCTTGACCAGCCCACCTATCATTAAAATTTGAAGTAGGACTTTTTACAATAGAGTGAAGAACCATTTAGAACTTCTTGCATTAAATAGCATAATGCAGCCAAAAAGAAGTACATTAAACCCATGAGATTTTCTTAGTACCCTCGGATTAATCATCCAATACTTTATTAAACTTGATATCCTTATCAAAGATAGATGAACAATAAGAGATATATAGCTATGGATATATATATATATATATATATATATGTCTACTCACAGGAAAAACTGATTTATACACTAAACTGCGGATCCAAGCTTGGGTTTTTAGATATGGGACAGCTACAAAGAAAATTTAAAGGTTCAGTTAGAGAGAAAATAAGTTCAAGAGAAAAAGGTAGAATACGAAAGATATATGTATATATATATATATATATATAACCCACCAAATTAACCACTATCTCTGTTAGAAGTATGGGGCGAATCCCATACCATACCTATTTGAGTATCAATTTGATGAATATAACAGGGGATGAAAATACAAACCTCAATTCGTGTCCTTCGAATTTAGGGTTCGAATGAGAGAGGGAGCTAGGGTTAGGGCTTGGAGAAAGGGGCGAAACCTTGTTCAATCTCGACGCCAATCAGCTGTGCCACTATCTTCTCTGCTCTACATTGCGCTGACCGTCGATTCAACCCTCAGTGGCTTCGGTAAAAGGGTTGGGCTTGGAGAGAAAGAAGAATGACGGCTTGGACAGTCTGAGAGAAAGGGGGTGGCCGACCTTGGAGATATATAGAACTGAAGAAGAAGCTCAGAACTGTTACAAAGGAGCTACCTCACATTCACGTTGCTATATTTGTCTTTGTTTGCTTCTGTATATGTTTCGATCTGTAAGGGTTATGTGAGCAGTATATATATTTTGTATGTATATATTTTTGTTTTTATTGACACTAGCGGGAATAAGACCCGCCAAAAATTTGGCTAAAATAATTCACTTTCTACGATAATTATTTTAAAACCGTGATAGAAAGTGAATTATTTTTAATTTAATTTAGACGGGTCTTTCTACCACGGTTTTAAAATAATCGTGGTAAAAGAAAATACTTTCTACCACGATTATTTTAAAACTGTGGTAAAAGAATATACTTTCTACCACGGTTTTTCATTAAACGTGGTAGAAAGTATATTCTTTTACCACGATTTTAAAATAACCGTGGTAGAAAGTATATTTTTTACCACAGTTATTTTAAAACCGTAGTAGAAAGGGTCTTCTACCACAGTTGTTTTAAAACCATGGTAAAAAAAAAAAAAAAAAATGCGTGGTAGAAAACTATTTTTCTTGTAGTGGGGTAAAGATGTGATCATTTCTTTAGTTGGCTTAGATAGCGACATATTTGATGCCGATTCACTCAAAAAGGATTCTGGAGTTGTTTTGATTTGCACGATCATTTTCTTGATGTATGGAGGACCATACTTGCTTGCTTGATGTTGAAATTTTGGGAGATTGCTTAGAAAGGGTTGAAAATTTGCATACTTGAGGTAGTTTTCTCCTAATGCTAGTTTGCAATATTGGTGCCTCTTTAGTGAGAAAAAACTTAATGTTTATGGGTATTATTTCTGGAAACCCTCACGAGACTTCACTCTTCCACTAGGGGTAACCTAGGGGTTTAAAAGGCTTGTTGCATGTGATAAATGCAATCTTGTTCCTTACGAAAGTGGCGTTATCTATTTATTGATTTCTAGATTATAGTCGGATAGTTGTTTATTTCATTCCTTTACTTTGTAGTTCATTGCTAGGGACTAGCAATATTTAAGTTTGGGGGTGTGATGAGCGCTGAAAAGTGCGTATTTAAACCCTTTAAACTTGAGTATTCTAGAACCTTTATCTATCTTATTTTTCCGTTTTAGACTAATTTTATGTTATGACCCTTTTCAGGCACTTATCCCCAAAATAAGTCAATTCAGCCAAATTAGAGTATAAAAGAAGCAATCTCAAGCTAAATGGAAGAAAAGAGCAAAGTAGAAGCAAAGTGGTGGAAAACAGCAAGTTTCGATCGATTAGATAAATCTTCGATCGATCTCACAGTGATCGATCTAGCCTTATCAAGATAGATCGAGCCTCTTGTCCTTATCCCGAAGAATTTCTATCTTCGATCGATCCAACATCCTTTAGATCGATCGAACTTCTTTGATATTATCCTCACCTATCACTTTTGTCTTTTTCCTAAAATATCTCGAAAATATCTCAGATCTATCAGTATTCCAAAAGGTGCCACCATGGTTCGATCGATCTCACCAAACTTCAATTGATCTAACCCCCTCAAGTTTGAAAAAAAACAGAGTCCAGCTCATTAAAAGATGGCTCGTGGTGCAATCATTGAAGGGGCCCTAGTGCACGAGGCCTAACCATTGGGTGTGACACTTGACCTACCTATATAAGGATTTTGAGCCATTTTTACATAAATAGGAGGAGATATACAATCTTAGAGACACAATCTTGGAGAGAGAGGTTAGAGGAGTCTAGAGATTAGAGAGATACACACCATTTGGGAGTTCTTCCATTCATCTAGGGTTTCTATCAAGAAACAGATCATTCCTACCACGGAGATGGCCCTTGAGGGTTGGATGACTACATCAATGAGTGGCTAAACATCTTCTTGGGGCTAGAGTTAGCCCTAAGCATGCCTTCTAGATCTTGATGTTTTATATTTTAAGGGGATTTGTGTTGTAATTCTTATCTTGACATTTGATTTATATATGAATCTTGTTTCTATAATGATTTGTGTTGTTTAATACTTCCAATTGATCATTTCATTCTACTCATATGTCTATGTATGCTAAAATAGATGTTCATGTGTTTATCTCTAGGTTTTGTGTTATTAATGCATGTCTATGTGTGTTGATGCTATGAATTTAGAGATTGTCAAGGCACGACGCTTTAATGGAATACTCTTGTGGTTTGTTTGATGGTTTATACTCATTTTTTGATAGATTGTGCCATTAGTTTAATTACTTTAATATTCATGTCCCTAGTTTAGTTGTAGTGCAGTTGCCTTACTTTCTTAGATGGGAAGACAATCCATGCTTGTTATTTGATGTTCCATGCTTATGAATGCAAGTAGTATAATTCTCTAACTTGTTAATGTGTTTTGATTATGAGCTTAAAGGAAGGAATAATGACTTAGTTTGATATATTGTGCTATTCATTATGTTGTCTAGACAATGTATATTTAATTAGTCATCCATGCTTGTTGATTCAATCAATCACACATATTAGTATTGCAATATATAGTTCCCCTCATTCATTACACATTGAGTGTCTAAAAAGGTGATGTTTAGTGGTGACGTCTGAGTCCCAAGATCCCTCTCTCTTATTCTCTACCCTTTATTTACTTTAATTGCTTTATATTGAATTTGTTTAACATTGTAGTTTAATTAACCAATCAAAACATCTTTGATCACTTGACCTATTAGTCCAATGTTGTTTCCATATCAATATTGCTTCATTTCCCTTGGGACGATCCCTACTCAACCTAGCTATATTAGTAGTTAGAGGTAGTAATGGCACTTTACAAATTCAAACATGGCCACTCTTTAGCAAGTTTTAGCTTTTTGCCCACGACACACACCATTGTCCACTCAGAGGAAGGATTTCATCAATCACACATTGCCCTTTTGGGTTCACCACAGTTTGAGCTGGAAGTTTGCCTGTGTCCCTAAGAAGTTGGTTCACGGTGTTGGCCATTTGTCCAATTTGAGTTTCAATTTTTTATATTGATTGAGACTACGAATGGACTAATTGCACCGTGGTTTGGAGTAATGATTGCATTCTTCCAATAGCAGCCAAGATTTTACTATTCGAATCCTCTATTTTCTTTTCCAATGCAGAATTTGATGAAGGAGGAGGATTTACAGCAGATTGATTACTATTTAATAGAGGCCGATAGCTTAAAGAAGCTTGGAATTGTCGATTCATGGGCTAAGAATTAGACTGATTTGGTTGCTCATGACCTTGAAATGCTGAATTTTGTGGGGCTAGTTGCCTCCATGAGAAATTTGGATGATCTCTCTAACCCGGATTGTATGTATTGGAGTAAGGATTATTTCCAGGGCTAGAGAACATGGCATTAGCCTGCTTTTGCGTACTTCTAGAAAATTGCTTCGGTGTGGGGAAATCTTCTGCATAATGAAAAGTACTTGTGCAATATGCACACATAGCACTTGATAAAGAATTTTGTAAAGAAGAAGAGAGATATGGTGCCACAAGCTGAAAAATTTTATGTGTTATGGCATCCACCTGAGACGATTCTTCCCTTAAAGTTCGTGGTTGACACGGATTTAAGGGTTTCTCGATACCAGAAATAAGAGCTATACGAAAACTATGTTGAATAGAATTTTTGCTAATATTCTCAAGCAAAGTCCATGCTTCATCTGGATTTTTGGACAAGAACATGCCCCCGCAAGAAGAATCAATTAATTGTGTATGTGGTTCGGTTAAACCATCATAGAAGGCTTGCACCAATTGCCATTTTGGAACTTCGTGGTGTATATACTTCCTAAGAAGATCTTGAAGTCTTTCCCATGTCTTATAGAATGGTTCCCCATCAATTTGGGAAAAACTAAGAATAGATCGATGCATTTGGTTGGTTTTACTCACAGGATAATACTTTTTAAAGAATTCTTGTTGCAATTGGACCCATGAAGTAATGGAATTTGCAATAAGAGAGTTCAACCAATACTTTACTCTATCTTTTAGAGAGAATGGAAAGAGATATACGTGAAGTGCATCTTGGGGGAAGTCCCTCATTTTGATGGTGGAGCAGATTTCCAAAAACTAATCAAGATGTTTATAGGGGTCCTCATTATCAAACCCATGATATGATGGAAGCATTTGGATTGTGGCGGACTTGATTTCATATTGACGAGCCTCAATATTAGGCATAATGATGCACAATGGAGATATGTATGCAGAAGGTACAAAATGATCCCTAAGAGTCATTGGTGCTACATTTTCATTTTCAACTCTAAGGTCAACTCTAGGATTTTCAACTCTTGGATCAACTAGAGGATCTTCAAGATTAGCATTTTCAAGATTGTTAGCCATGTTGTCTACTTCAGTTTCAAGTTCTCTTATAGTTTCAGGTTCCCTAAGGTTCCTTTTTGTTGTCTAAATGTCCTTTCAAGTAAAGTAATATCAATGGGTTCCTCAGGAAGTGGAAGAGACAATGAGCTATGACTTACCATCAACTAGGATTCACAACAATCACAACAATTACAACAACCCTTCACCAAAACATGCACATACATTAATCCCTTTCTCCTCAATTCAGCAAAATGAAACACAGATTAAAATGACCACAACAAGGACCTATGCTTGAACAAAGAAGAAAATTAATATAGCCTCGACAAGGGCCAAACAACAATACCAAATGAACTAGAACCTTCAAAAACTTACCCGGAATCCCTAAGACTTCAAATTTTCAATTTTCACTTGGGAAGTGTTGAATTCCAAGCAAGACAGAAACACACACACACTAAAAAAAAAAAAATTAAACAAAAGGTAATTTTTAAACTTTAGTCACAAATTGTATGCATTCCCCGGCAACGGTGCCAAAAATTGATGCGAGTAATTTGTTACCAATTAAAATCACTACTTGCAATAGCACATACCATTATAGAATAATGCTATTATAAGGGGTTTGTCGAACCACAAGAAATGCTAGTTTATGGCAACCAAGGTTGTAAAATTACTTTAAGTTTGATAAAAGAGATGATTGTTTGATTTGTTTGTTACTTAAAACTAGGAATTGAAAATGCATAAAAACAGTAAATAAAATGGATTTAAATGAATTAAACTTATAGAGATAAAGGCTAGGGAATTGACTTCAC